TGTGTGTGTGTGTGTGTGTGTGTGTGTGTGTGTGTGTGTGTGTGTTTTCCTGGTTAAGAGCTCAATCACTCTATCACAGTGTCTGGTTTATTCTAGAATATGCGTTATGACTTTGGATTAAAATGTGTGTTATTCACTGTCTCATATGTCCAGCATTTTGGCTGTCAGAAGTTAGTGCTGTATATATTCACCAGTGTCACAATAGGGAAATAACCTTCCTGCTTTACTTTAAACTGTTGAAATTGTAATTTAGAGTTGGATTAGCAAATTATGACTATAAAACATTTAAAAATTGGCATTTTGAAAGCAGACCTGTTAAAGGAATACCCTGAAACTGGTGTTGTTACGGCATGAACAGTAGGGCAGAAGCAGGGCGCTGGTACCTCCGGTGCACCTGTGAGGACCCTGCAGATGGCCCCTGTGTGCCTTCAAGGCCGTTTGGGGACAGGTTGTCTTTCTACTTTCTTAGCATTTACTCTGCTACCATCCAGGGTCTTAGCAGTCGGTGGAAAGCTTACTCCTTTTCCTTCTCTGCTCTTTTAATAAAGATGGTGTGTGAGTTGCCATCAAGTTGATGCCGACTCATTGCGACCCCACGTGTGCAGAGCAGGCCTGCCCCTTCGGATTTTCAATGGCTGTGACTTTGGAAGGAAGTTCTGAGATTTCTCATCTTGCAGGCTTTTAGGGTAGTATGCCAGTAGGCAAGCGTTAACTGTCACATAGGCTGCTTTAGTTCTCCTGGCAAGCCCTAGTCAGGACGTGATTATAGACCCCATCTGAATGCCATCCCCCACCAACCCAAATCTCATCAAGTTGTCTGTGTGCCACTGTCATTGTCCCAAGTCCTTATATGTCAGAAACTCAGTTAGGCCTTGGCTGCTAGCTGGCGGGTCACGGCAGAGAAGAGGCACGTGGGAAAGGGCAGCCCCTGGCAGCCCCAGCCAGCAGGTCGGCTCTGCACATGTAGGTCCTCCCCTCAACAGCAGCTGCGAGTTTTTTGTTGTTTTTCCCCTTCTTGCCTAAGCCACATAGTTTTTTTAGCAAAGCAGTACTAACAAGACACTAGAGATGAGTGACTAGCTAGTGAACCTGGGCTGCTTTTTGAGATTGTATTTAATTCAGTGCGTTATTTACATCTTCCAGCAAAAACTTGGCTTGGCACTCCCTCCATCCTCCAGGACCTGTCCCCTCGGTGCTCTGGCTGTCAGCGATGGGTATTTCCCTAACAGTCTCTGCCTGTGTTTCCACACATGCACACTGAGAGTCATGGTGGTACCTTAGGAACAGGGTAATCGGCTGGTGACAGGGAGCCTAGCGTTTCCCCAGCGGTCTGTCACAAGCCGCCTTAGTCCTTCCTGGGCTCCAGCTGTTGGGGGTATTGCTGGGAGCTGCTTCCTCGGCCCGGCTGCCAAGAAGGAACTCATACCCGCCTTAACAAGGTGTGAAGCTCGTCTCAGAGCTGCTAATGCTTCCCTGACCTTTCCAGAAGGTCCTGGGGCCTCTTCCAAGCTGAGCAGTTTGCCTTCCCCAAGAGCTCATTCAGTTTCTTATTTCTGATAGGCTTCCTCTGACAGCTGCTTAGAAACCTCGAATTGGCGCTGCTGCTGTGATCTTGCATCTGTCAGAATTTATAACTTCCTAGAGACGGTTCCATCCTGGCGTCAGGGCCCAGTGCCCGCCTGTTCTCAGCTGCTGTGGCAGCTGCCCTGGTCCTGGGAAAAGGGGGCCCCCTTTGCCCAGCTCTTGACAGCAGGTTCTTATAATTTGTCCTTACCCTCATCAACTGGCATGGGAAGAAGTGTCAGCCTCTGCCTTGAAATATTTGTGTTCCGTTGGCCCCCACGTCAGTGCAGTCAGAGAGCTGTGCTCTTGCCCTGATTCCTGTCCTGGAATATGGAGATCTAAAGAGATTGCATTCATCACAAAGTGAATTTCACCACCTACATTGAATCATTAGATCCAGGTGACACCCTTTCTGGATTGCTAAGTAGTCCACAAAAGTTGGTTGGTACATTTTAACCATTTAGATTGGGTTTTTACTATATTCATTTATCTCAGAATTCAGTGTAGGATTCTTTTGTACTACTTCAGAGTGAAGGAAGCCACTGTGACACTTTTCGTTTAACTCTAGCCAGATAGGGCTGTAGAAGCTAAGAGTTTCTACAAAGAAGCTAAGAGACCTCTCCCGGGTCACATTTCTTTGGGCTAAGTTCAGTCAGGTGCTGGGTTGGTACCCTGGATGGTACATGGGAGAGAGTCTTCCAGATGTGCCCTAGTCACCACTCAGCCTTAAAAGTACTTCTGGGAGGTCCTTCAGTTAGGCAGCTGGACCCTGACCCACCATAACGAGCTGTCATTTGAATCAGCCATTAGGTTGCTTTTACTATGAGTTTGTGATATTATCTGAGTAACCAAATCACCATACCTTTTATATGGATTAAATGAGTAGGTTTTCTTTCTTCTGAGGTTATGCATATGAAATAAATGGGATTTATTGCCCCTGAGATTATTTTATTTGGGATCTGAACATGGGATTATCGTCAAACAATTCTGTTAAGAAGCTGTGTAGTTTGGACTCCCATGAATTATGTACAAGACAAGCTGGTTGTTGATGTCATCACACTGTGCCGTGTGTTACAGGGTAAGGCTAGGGGAGAGGTTTGTCTGGTGTCATTCCTGTAGTGCCAGTCACTTTTGTAACATGGCACCAAGCCTAAACATGTCAGAGCTCTAACAATGCCCTTGCTTTTCTAGGTCCTGGCTTGGTTTGAAGAAGGTGAAGAAACAATCACGGCCTTTGTAGAACCCTTTGTGATTTTACTTATATTAGTAGCCAATGCAATTGTGGGCGTATGGCAGGTAAGAAGACTGCGCTGCAGTAGTTGCATGATTGTATTGTAAGCAAGTCAGACTCTAATACCCGTGTGTTTTTCCTATTTTTATGTGAAAATGGCTCTGTGGAACATCTCCGTTTCTCAGCATACTTTGCTGTTAACATTTGTTCCTCCTTCATGGTGGCATGAATGGCAGGGGGACCACAAAGATGGACCTCTGGTGACCTGGTCTGAAGGGAGTTGCACTGCTAACCCAAGCGTGTTATCTTCTGGGGTTCAAATCCACTCCTTGAGGGAAAGATGAGCATGAAGAAAAGCTGATTAACAAGGAGAAATTTTGAGAACCCGAATCTGTGGGTTTTTTTGTCTGTGTCCTCTGAAAAGCTTCATAAACTCAGTGTCCCTTGTATTGTATTTTTCTTTTTTCATGTAATTGGGGCTCCCCCACCCTTTCATGGTCTATTCCTGACCACTCCCTTCAGGTGTCCAGGCTTTTCTTACTGAAAGAATGTAAGTCCGTTTTGCTGTGAAAATACTGTGAGATTCTCGTTCCAGTTGACGCATGTGTTGTACTGCAAGGATTTTTTTTTTGCAAGGATTTTCTTGAACTTTTAACTTTTAGAATTCTTGGTCTTTTGTCATTTTAAAAATTAAAATTAATTCTGAAACTCAGACTAATACTTTAAATTCTTTTTGAGGGTTGATCTTAATCAGCGCTTAATTTTTGATGGGCATGTTGCTGTTCTGCCCCAAGTTGGAACCAACCCATAGCTGACCCTCCAGGAGGTGGTCAGAGGTAGTAAACCACGCGGGAGGAGATGACGCCTCTTTCTCCTGGGCCCATCTGACCTCAAGTCCAAGGTCATGCCCAAAAAGTTCCATAAGATTCTTAAGTATCTTAGTTTTTATTTTAATAACATCATCTGATCTTAAATCTTGCTTTGATAGTATAGCAAATGGTCTTAGCAGTACTGGAGGGTTGATAATTGTATAGTAAATGAGGACGGAGAGGGAGACGGGTATCATTTCCAGCCCTTGTCTTCAAGGAGAGCCCCATAGAGGAGGCAGCAGTTAGAATGTAGAGAGAGGAGCTCCGTGGAGGCTGGGGCAGTGTCCAAGAGGTGGGAAAGCTTCTGAGGTTTGGGAGGAGACGTGGTTCGTCATCGGACGGGGTTGCTTGTCATGTCGTTTAGATGGCCATCTTTGTCCACATCCGAGGCACTGGATCCTCTTTGGTTTTATTTCTGTTTGCATACAGAATACACATACATGTATTTCATTAGTACATACTGTGTTTTTGGTGATCATTCCCATGGTACTCTATCCTTTTAAGCTCATGCTGCACCTTTTCTAAGCCAGAGCAACATACGGAGTGTCCTTTATAGTCTTCTAGGACAGCTCCCTGATTGGATACTTCATGACCTGAAGATGAAAAGGAAAGACAAATAAAACAGCTGTATGTCGTGAGTTGGGGTGAGTGGAGGCTGAACATTTCCCCCGGCATACGTAACACTTTAACTTGACCTGAAGGACCTTTATGAGTTAACAAGAGCAGTTCTAAAATTATGCGCTGATGTAGACATACTCGTACGTTAAGCATGTCTTCTCTGATTTGAAACTCAAGTTGATTCTGTACAGCATTGTCTAAAGTCAAGGTCACCTCTATTTTTTTCATAAACATTTTAAACAGTTTCTGACATCTTTAAATGGGTTTAGGCATTCTTAAGGCAAATTGGAGTCGCATGGTGTTGACTAGAAATGCAGGTGACAGATAAAACAGGAGCACTAGAAAAAAGGCAGCCAGAGGAATAAGGATATATACTTAGTGGTGCTGGCTGGGCATGACCTTCATAGATTCATTCTAGACTTGAGTTCTTTTTTTTTATTTTTTTTTATTTTTGTGTGCGTGTACCGTCAAATCAGATCTGACTGGTACAGGAGGAGATGGACCCTCTTTCCCCGGCAGAGCACCTGGTGGATTCGAACCGTGCACCTCTGGGATTGTAGTTGCAGCTTCTTACCACTAGGCCACCAGAGCTCCCCTTAGACTTGAGTTCTTAACAAGAGTTGCTTTGTCATTGTTGTGTACTGTTGAGTCAGAACTTACCCATAGCTGACCCTCCAGTGGGTTTTCAGAAGCTGTAAATCACATGGGAGGAGGTGGCCCATCTTACTCCCATAGAGCAACTGGTGGATTTGAACCACGTTCCTTTGGGTTGGCAGCATAACTCCTTGCCAGTAAGCCATCAGAACTCCCTACTAAAGAGTGGAGACAGATTTGGCAAATTAGCTGAGCTTGTGTTTAATGTATTTCCTTTTTTAAAAAGCCATTTTCCTATATTGTTGGCTGCATGATCCCCATTTGTTCTAACTCTGCCTCTTTAACCTGAAATTTGAGATGGGAAACTGCCGTTGTGTGTCTGTCTGTTTACTGGGGAGCCGTGTGTGTGTGTGAGAGAGAGAGAGAGAGAGAGTGAGAGACTGGGGGGGGGGGTGCCAGCAGTGAGCTGGGCCTGGATTTTCTTGTCAATCATAGCCGTTCTTACGTTCCAGACAGGGTTTTAAGAATTATACAGGTCTTTGTGATCCTTACAACCCTGGCGTTGCCCTCCTAGCATAGGCGATTAGCCTTTGCATCACGTGGAAGAGCCTGGATTGACCCCTCGGCCCTCACCATGATGCTGTGCTGCCTTTCAAGTGACACAGAGCTGGCTGCCAGGTGTGGGGTGGAGGAGGCGGGGGCCGGCCTGGCTCCCCTCCATGCTTACAGACACTGATTCTGTAACTGCTTTTTGCATTTCAGTTAGGGTTCTGCCATCTGATTCCTGGACAGTGGCCTCAGCATTTCATGCTTTAATATCTTGTATTTCAAAGGAAAGAAATGCTGAAAATGCCATTGAAGCCCTTAAAGAGTACGAGCCTGAGATGGGCAAAGTGTACCGGCAGGACCGGAAGAGCGTCCAGCGGATTAAAGCCAAAGACATCGTTCCTGGCGATATCGTAGAAATCGCTGGTGAGTCACATTTATTCTGCTTTACCCTAGACTGTATTGTATACGGAAATGGCCACTTCCTTGGCATTCATAGTTAAAATGGAACATTTTCATGTGTTTTCATGAACTGTGTTAAGGTGTTGATGGCATCTAAATGGGGTTCCCAGAAAGTGATGTTCAGGGTTTTGGTGCCTCTCCTCATGTTAAGTCTGTTTTGGTTTCTAGGTGTTTTGACATATTTTCCCCAACTTGCCTGTATATTTCTTAGTCCCTTTCCACTGTAGATTACTGGCTTTAGAGAGGTGTTGAGTTTGCCCTTGATTTGACATTTTGTTGTGACTTGAGTATGGTAGCGGTGACACTGGGTCAACAGGGAAGACTCTGGTCTGTTCATGGGCCTCTCCTTTGGCATCTACAGTGCTGCTCTGTTACCATACCACTTAGTGACTGGACCGGTTTTTGTTTTGCTGGCACCAGTGTTCATTCATACCTGTAATTCAGATTGGTTAAAGGTTTCATGGTCCTGAAGCTGATGCTAGAAATCCTTTAGCCCGGGTTCCTAGTCGGCTGTGGCTGAGGTGGCAGTGCACGTCAGGCACTGAGCATCTGTGTGGACCGCCCGATAGCACTGACTGGTGGGCTGCACTTCCCACAGGGTACGTGTCCTTGACTTTGTCTCTTTCTGTGCATGGTTTCCTGGTAACACTGCAGGGCCTTGTGAGGACGTGAGCTTCATCTTTATTGTCTCGTTTGTTTCCCTGAAAGGAATTCAAAGCTGCATCTGGTGGCCTGGCGCTCTAGTTTTGGTCTCTGAAAAGAGATGATTTTGTTTGTATTCTCTTTGTTGGTTTGCTCAGTTTTTACTAAAAGTAACATTGCATGTACATCAGTAAGTTGATTTCTTTGGGCCTGCTGAGCTTTGTGTGTAAATGTAGTCGCTTGCTTTATTCTTAGCAAAGAACACAGGAACATATTTAAAATCCTCGTCCATGTCGCCAAGTTGTCCGGCTGCCGGCGTCTCTGTGCACACGCTCCTTTCTCCTGCTGCACATGCACCTTCAGATCTGAGACCTTTTCAGAGAAGGTCACAGGCACGATGCCTCTTTACTCATATGTTACGTTTACTTCCAAAGACCTCTTGTAGTGCCCCACTTCCATCAAAATCTGCACACTTTCTTCATTTTGTCCCAGTTGTCAGTGTCCCAAGTGTCTGTGCAGCAGGGAAGATCCACGTTAGAGGCCAGGGCTGGAGGCACAGTCTGGGGACGCACGGACCTTGGGAGCTTTAGGAACAAGGAGGGCCTTTAACCACGGGCCTCTCTCAACCCCCAGAACATGGTCAGTGTCCCCAAAAGGGCTAATTCTGAGAAAATCAGCCCTGATAGGAACAAAAAGAGTTGATTTGTTAAGTGGGTGGGTGTGGGGCAGAAAGGGAGAGGATGTAGAAACGAGTGCTGGGGACCATGGCACGGGGAGACCCGTTCTCTTGGTCCAGATCCACGTGTGGTAGGTTACGAACAGGAGCTAGTGGGCATTCCCAGTCCCCCAGCTTGATTTCACTCTGCAGCCCTCCAAGTGCGAGTCCTGGATGCATGCTCTTTGGTCGGGTCATTGACTTCCCTGGTGCTTGTCCTTCATGTGTGCAGTCAGAGGGCAGTGAGGGCCGGCCTGGCGCCCTTGGAGCACTGTCTGTCCTGCAGTCGGCGCGTGCCACCAAGGCTGACCTCCAACAGCTTTTGAGAGGCAGGACACTGCAGGGGAGCAGCCTGCCCAGCTTCCTCCCCCAGAGCAGCTGGTGGGTGTGAACCTTCGAGATTGCAGTGCGGCCTGTTACCACTAGGTCACCGTCTTGTGGCCGTCTTGTGGCCGCCTGTATTTACCAGCTCTCGACGTTGCTCCACCCTCATTGAACAAAGAGTTGGTGACTGCTGCCCTGACCACCTCCCTCACTGTCTCCTCCTGTGTTCCAACCCTGCCGTTGTGCCACCAGCGGCCAGGCCGCCTCGTCAAAGGCCACTTGTTGACTGCTTCACTTGCTCCTCGTGTAGCTATAATTGAACCTAAAGCCTTTTCCCCCTGTTTTTGGGTTTCTCCTTGCTTCTTTGAGCCATCTTGGGCCCTCCTGCCCCCTGGAGCCATGCAGCCCTCTGCTGTGTTCAGTAACACCCTGTGCTCTTGACCTTTTTTGGGGCTTATTCTAGATTGTTGATTATGTCCAGTGACAGGTTTTCATTGTAGAACCTTGATCTGTTTGCCTTTTCTGCTGTGACATCTCCCTTGGCACTTACAAGCATTTGTGTAGTCGGTGTGACCGTCTCACTCGGTCCCTTGTTAGGTACTGTCTAGTCTGTTCTGACTCAGAATCCTTTGAACCCACTGTTGTAACCACTGGGCCAGCCCCAGTCCTTGAGGTCCCCCACTTTCTTAAGGGACTTCCACCAAACATGGTGGCCTTTCCCAAGGCCTAGAGTCTTTAATGGTTGCTTTTCCCACCCGCTGCTCTGAGGGACAAAGATGGCCAAGCTCCTCCTGTGCGATCGGCAGCTTTGGAACCTGAGGGTCAGTGACGAGTCTGTTCTGACTTGTTGGTAGTGAGGTGTTTGATGTGAGGGTGCCTAGCAGTGAGGCTGTGCTGCTGTCCCAAAGGCACGCGGATCGAATCCCCCACCGCCCCACAGGAGAAAGGTGTGCAGTCTGCTCCTGTGTGATTGGCTGCCTCTGGAAGCCTGCTGGAGGAAGCCTGTCCGCAGTCTGTCTGGCCCCCCCCTCCCCCCGGAGTACGTCCCGTCACAGCTCCTGGGTGCACCTTGCTGTTAGGTGAATGTGCAGCTGTGACTACTAGTTAGCAGTTAGTCTAAGGAAAGCCCTGAAATCCATTTTCTGTGCCACTCTTCTATACCCTTTGTGAAGGTGGGCATGCCTGATACCTGTTACCCTTTTCCTTCTCACCTCCCCCCACCCCGTCCACACTAGGTTCTTAGTTCCTCAGGCTCATAATCCTGTCCTGAGTGTCCACCATCCTAACAGCCAACGAAGGTTCAAGTGTGATGGGATGGTAAGGACCTGCAGGACAGGACAGGGCTCCCATCTGGCGTCCAGAGAGTCGCTGCGAGTTGTGCTCCACTCCGTGGCATCAAACAGACCAGAGGACAGGCAGTGCAGAGCGGAGGTGGTGCCTCGGTTCCTAGGAGTTGGAACCAACCCATAGTGGTTTTTCAGAGGCCGCACATCGCATGAGAGGAGACTGTCCATCTTGCTCTGGCCAACGGCTGATGGATTCGAGCCATGTGCCTTTGGGACTGCAGCACAGCTTCTGCACTAGCCCCCCGGAGCTCCCCTTCCTAAGAGTGGGGTGGACACTTCTGTGAGGCCAGTGAGCCCTCTGAGGGCAGAGCTGTGAACAGGAGTGAAACTGGAATCAGAAGGAGGTGGTTCCAACCAAGTGCAGCTTCTGGGGAACAGAACACTGAGGTGGGGTAGTGTGGGCAACTTGGAAGCTTGGAGCTAGCAAGTAGGTGCTTGGCTTTCAGCTGTCAGCTACACTGTAACTATTACTGGATACGTTACCTTTGAGATTGGGGCAAGCTCCTTGTAACAGTGTCTGTGGCTTGCTGGGGGCTCCTATGTATCAGTCAGCCTTCAGTTTGTTGGAGAGCAGGTCCCAGTTACTCAGACACCAGCTATGAGGAGAAACAAGTTCAGTGCCTGTAGACGTCCCCTTTTCTGTGTCTGTGCTGTGGGCTCTGGGGCTTTGGAGGGTTGTTCTTTGTTGTTTTTTTACCTTGTGCAGTCTTCACTTTAGTAAGTTTCATAAAGATTATTGTGGTAGGCAAAATCTAAGAGCTAGCATTCAGCAGTGTTACACTCACTGTGAATTCTGATTCTGTCATCTACACCTTGTGTGCGCACCACTGGGAGAGCCACTCGTTCACGTGGGTTTGCTTGTCAGGACGTTGCACCCGCTGGTGTCCTGGGTGTGTGGCCTCTGGTCTGTCTGCCTCTTGCAGCTGGCACGTTCCAGAGGCCCATCTGTGCAGGACCGTGTGTCAGTGTCTCGTTCCTTTATGGCCAGCAGAGACACCACTGGTGGCTATCCTGAGCCTCAGGTGCCCACTCTCCATCAGTGGCCAGACTGACGATGACCTCTACTTTTTGGTATCATGACTAGTGATGCCGCGAGGGACATGTGACTGGCCTTCCACGTGGACGTTTGTGTTGATTTTTCTTGGGTCCGCACTGGGCGCAGAGCTGCTGGTCACATGGTGGCTTCCACTCTGAGGAGCTGGGCTGCGCCTCTGCCCATGCCCCCTGTAGTGGGTGAGGCTTTCCCTGCCCTGTACGTGGCTGCCGGTGCCTCGCACATTGACTGTAGTGGCCCAGTGCTAGCTCGGGGTTTTATGTGGTTGCCTTTCCGTGGGGTGCTGAGCACATGTTGACATGTTCCCTATTTAAGACCTTCCCTTATTGGGGTCACTGAGCCGTGTGCCTGTGTCTTGGACACCAGTCTCTTGTGAGCTGTGATTCACGAGAACTTTATCGCGGGTCGTGCCCTGTCTCGTAGTGTTCCTTGTGTTTCAGCTAAGGTGTGAGTTCCCAGCACCGACGCTCCTCCTGTGCAGCGCTGACACACACTCCAGCCCCCGCCCAAGCAGGCAGGCCAGCCGGCTGCTCCCTTGCTGTCCCTGTCCCCCGGGCGTCGTGTGGTGACGGCTCTGGTCACCAGATTGGCCTCTGCTGTGGAGTGTGCTAACCCTCACGAGTTGGGTTTGGGGCTCACAGGGTGACTGAGGGCTTGGGGTCCTGAATCTTCGTGTGTGCCCGTGTGTCCACCCAGAAGCCCGTTCACTGCTCACCAGTGGTCATGCGATTCGATGGGTAGGTGAGGATGCTTGATGTTGTGAATGCGGGGGGTCCGTGACTTCATCAGCACTGTTGGCACTGCCTGGCCCCTTGATCCTGGGGTGGGGGGTTAGCACAGCTGGGGGCCAGCGCCCTGAGCGCCCCGGCAGAGCCACCTCTTA